ACTTCCATGCTCATGATATTCAAGAGGAACTAACCTTGCCTACCTCCATCTGGAACTTCTAAATTAGTAATTAATAGGTTTTTCCAATCTTCAGATGAGCTAGAGATACCATGTTTAGAAGTACCGTAGGTTGCATTGCTGTACCGTGATAGCATTTTCATTTATTACTCGAGTCACCTTCACTTAAGACTAACCTTCTCCAAAATCCAACTTATCTGGCTCCTCCCTACATCTACTCGAATTCCAGACCAGATACTTCACGTGACACTAAAGAGTTCTCCATTATCCACTCAACCTAACAGCAACAGCATATCTATGACTTCTAATCTAATGCATCAAAATCTGGACAACTTGCAATTGCTATTGGACATTAAAATCCCAATGTCAAATCCAAGTACAACAATACCCATCCTATTTACTGGATAGCATGAAACAAATAGGGACGATCAGGATGTCCAAGTCTAACACTTTCTAAATAACAATAAACAAAAACTATTCTCTATAAAAATAGCCTACTAGAAGTAGCAAATCATGTAATAGATTGAAATGGTCCAATGTGGGGGGATCTTATTCCATTAGGATCTTTATTCATTGCAGTATTCAGAGCCACTTAGATACTCTCCATGCTCTTCAAAGTACTCAACCAATCGCTTTAAGAATCCATCACTACTTACTGTTTCAGTGTCACAGACAAGACAACAGTGTCTTCTTGCTCGTGTCACAGCCACATTCATTCGCCTACGGTCACTTAAAAACCCCACCTAAATATATTCAAAAGGCCACAATTTTACTGCTGATTTAGAATTCTACCATATATAAACAAAAGGCAAAATGTTCTAACAGTAGCTTAGAATACCTCTTTGGTTGAGTTAGATCGAACCATGGAAATAATAATAGCTTCCTTCTCTCGGCCTTGGAAACCATCAACAGTTGAGATTTCTACATCCTTTAGCTTATCCTCATTGCTTCTCAACATCTTTAGTAAGACAACCTGAAATATAATTGTGATTTATAAGAATGAACCATCTATCTATTGATCAGTTTGTGAATGGAATGAAGGTAGAGGAAAGATATCTAGTTAGTATTTGGGTCCTAACTCTATGAACCATGTTACAAAATACAAAGTATGGAGAAATGAGACGATTGACCACAGGAAGAGTATACTCTTTAATACCTGTGCAGCATATGGGGTAATAATTCCAATTTCAGAAGCTAGGACTCCACTCTGAGTAAGTCTCTTTGCATGTGAAATAGCAATCTCAGCTTCACCTTCATTGAGGGTGCTGTCTTCTTCATCCTTCTTTTCTTCCATGTCGCATCTGAAGCAGATCAAATATGAACCTTTTACAAAATTTAAATAGTTGTACAGAGTGAAAGTTCCTAGAATAACTTGGGGACCTCCCTAAACCATTAGTAAATCAATCAACTTGTTGTCCCTTTTGACATTTTAAATGGCTCTTGTTGAGGTAGGATATGAATTGATCCTTATATTTACGCAATTTTTTTTATCTATATTTAGATAAAATGGTATCATTTTGGCACCTTTTTCCACAAAGGTAGCCACTGAATGATTATATAAATAAAGAATAACACTTGAAACTCACAACTAAAAAAAATTGCAGCCCCCAAGTCCAAAACTATGTAATTTCAAACACTCCCCAGTCCCATTTCAAAACTACATACTTTTAATAGTAATTTTAACTCCCATCCTAAATCTAATGGAACTAAATGATTCTTACTGAAATGACCTGGTTTTGGGATTTAGGACTGCAAGTTTTGTTCAATGGTAACTGCCAGACACTTTTCTCATAGAATGGTTTCATTTTACTTTGTCACCAAAAAAGGCAATGCTCAATCTGGAAAATGCATATTATTATTCACCAAATTTAAAGAACAAACCATATACCCGGCTGTGTCTATGAGAAGAAGGGCTGGCTCTGTTGAAGTCGTCCTCTTCACATTCTCAAGATCGAAAAGCATATGTGCAGCAACACTTGGATGGGCTTTGATCTGTAAAAATCAAGCAACAGATTATAACTATTGTTTATTTAACAAAACTTACACTATAATCCAGCATCCAGAAAATATCCAAGTACCTTACTATCATAAAGCTCTTTGGATGACCAATCCATTATAAGCTCATGCATGCGGTACTGGACAGTGAGCATAGACATGATTTCATCTCCATACAGGTCAGCAAGGCGTTCAAAGAGGGTTCTTCCTAACCCTTTCCTCTCAGCTTCAACACTCTGGATGGTTGGAGGAAGCTGCAGATGGTCTCCAGCAAGGATACATCTTGAACCCTACAACAAACATAACTAATAATAAGTGGGGCTTGTTCAATTAGATTAATACCTCTATAAACTAGTATGAAATGCATAATATTCAAGTTTCCTCCATTGGAGTTCAGTTAGTTTCAATTTTCCATTCTAAACTCGAAACAGAATGTGAGAATGCATATATGTAAGACAGTAAGAGAATAGTTTCCACACCTAACCGTGTTACTAAAAGAGGAAGAAAAACTATGTGACATGTGGTTGAGAATAATATTTGCACCCAGATCTTGAATAAGTGACTGTGTGCCTGTGATTGTGTTAGGCAGAAGTGATTTATGAGCATTTTCAGTGCGTCATTACCTTTAGTAGCGCTATCCAGCATGCTATCTCAAGTGCCTGAGCAGCTTCATCAATAATAACCAAATTGAACGAACTATTCTCCAATTTGCGAGAAACTGCACCGGTCAAAGTTGTCAACACAACATCTGCACCCTTAATTACATCTGTCACAGCTAGCTGCTGCCTTTTCCGCTCTTCTTTGGAAAGATTCCTAAGCTCTTTCTGGATATCTCTCCTCCTATTTCTGTCTTTGGTTTTCAATAATTTCCCATTAAGTGCCTGAAGAAATGCCGTGAGGCATTTGAGGACTGAATTAGAAGTAAAATTATCTATTTCAGCAAGGATGAAATGATTCAATTCCAGAGAACTTAATAGCTTTTCTTTAATGAACCGTAAAAAAGAGTTGGCTTTTAATATCCAAAGCACAAGTTAATAAGCGATTATTCTTTATAGAAATTCTTGGTAATGCTATTCTAGTTAAATGGCTCTAAGGCACAAAATACAAGTTTATAATGGAAATTCTAGGAACAACAGTTTGTGGCTGGAAATAAAAAGGCCAAGATGTTCAGATGTTGTATAAAAGTAAAAGGACTATCAAAGACATTTTAAGAGGCCAAAAATATAATTAAAAAAATAATAATAAAGCTCAAACCATACCATCATTAATATTCAATTTCTTTTCTTCGAGCAAATTAAGGATTCAAATTTATAATAAAATTTTACCTTAATTTCCTTCTGGATGTCATTTGCAAGAGAGCTATTATCCCCTTGGAGCACCTACAGAAAAAATACTAAATACGTAAACCACAACTTCTGTGATATTAACAATAACAATTATGGAACATAAAATCACAAAGAAAAATTTTTTAACTACTTCCAAAATGTCAAATTGTCAAAAAACAAAATAAATATTCATTCAGGCTACCATAAGAACAAGCAGAAAACATCAAAAGAAAGTTTTAGCACTTTATGAAGCAACATAACTGGATTACTATCTATTTGTCAGCAAACATAACTGAAGTGGGTTATTAATTAATCCAAAGCAATAGAAAAAAGACATGCTTGAAATGTGAGAAAGCATACACACACAATGTGTTGACTGAATATTATGAGAATGCAAGCGTGTTAAAAAAATGTGCCTGAAACAAACTATAATAATGCAAAATCCTATTGTTCAAATTTTTCCTTTTCAAAAAAGAGGACAAACCTGTGCATCAAGTGCACTGTCCAAAACTTGAGGTAGTAAACGTGCAGGATGCCCCAGTCTCACCAACTTTACTCTGAATGAAAAAAATGAAATAGACAAAGATGATTATATGTACTCTTACACACTTGAGGAAACAAAACAAGTCAAGAAAGAAAACTAGTACATGAGATGGCAACTTAGCTCATAAATCTAACTATCAAGTATCTTACAGTTTCATGAAAAAGGAAAGAAAAATCAAATTAAAAATAGTTAAATGCCAAAAAGAGTTTTCCAGTAGTTGAAAAGATAAGTATATTTCAAATTCAAGCAAAGGATGGACTGACACATTGTTTTGATTCCTATTATCCTATGGCAACACCCAGGCCAGTATCTGATGAAAACTCGTTTCAACCTTAATAGATTCAGCAAAAGAACATCCTAACGAAAGCCCAACCATACAAAATTTACAACTTAAGTTCCAACAGAACTGCAGTATAAGAAGATTATAGTTTAAACTTAAAGTGGTGAGGCTCTCAATCTCAAATATAAAACATTTCTTTAATAGGTTAGTACTAAGGGTTGAATGCAGGTATCATCTTCCTGTATATTACTGTCCACTTTACCTGTGGGGAACAAGCCGCTCAACAATGTTGTCAACAGCAATATTTGAAGCAGCACAGGCAAGAATCTTTGAGCCACGCTTCACTTCTTGTAAGATAATTTCCACTACCGTAGTAGTTTTCCCAGTACCAGGAGGACCATGCAGCAAAAATACATCCTTTGATGACAAGGCTTTCGAAATGGCATCTTTCTTGAAGGAAAAAGCACAAGAAACTGAATTACGATAATATGTCAACAGAAATAGACACTGCCTTTCTAAAAAGGAGAACTGATCCCCACCCAAAAAAAGGGAAAAAAAAAAAAATGAGGAAAGGGTAAAAGTTAATGAACCATTTATAGTCCGAAAAGCTTAAACACTAGGTAAGCATATAATTAAACACCTGAGAGTGATCAAGGTTAGAGTTAAAAGGGGTGAACATAACATCCTTCGTTGAAAATGTTGGTGGTCTCTCTCCAAACAAGACAGGAACTAGATCTGCAGCAGGCCCCTTCAATACACCTTTACTCAATTGTATTAAGGCATCCTTCATCCTACGATATGTCACCTGCACAGAAATTAATTTGAATTATTTTTCTTATAAGCTTAATCTCCAAGAAAATATGGTGTTGAGCCTTCTATACTAGTTCTATGACTTTGATCTGCTTCAGGCTTGTAAAGATGGGACAGCATGAATCAAAGTTTGACTTCTACATGATTCCCAAAGTTAACACTGAGAATTTTTCAGATAGAATAAAGAACTGAAAAGCCATTCTGTGGTGCAATAAGCAGAATTCAAGTTTACTTAAACACATACAAGGCAAGGGAATTCTTGTCTATATTACATGTAAGAGTAAAGCCAGTATAAACAAAGAATTGACTGAAGAATCTTAGTTGCATACCTCATTGGCCACTTTTTCTAGACGCAAGGGACTATTCAAACCTTCTTCTGGGATGTCATCAAAAGCAACAGTGATTGAGGAATCCTGCTCGATATGCACATGAAACCAGCAGCACAATAATTACAGAGAATTACATGTAACTAGAAACAACAAGCTCTACAGTGTAATAACCCAAAGTTTCTTTTAAGAATTAAGAGTCCCAATCACCTTTAGCCAGTAAACTACACCTTGCCCAAGTGCAGGAGATCCCGAATCAGCTTTGTTCAGTTTTAATACAACTACATCATGGGTACCAAACTGCATTGCAAAATTAATAACATTTAGAACTTCAAAATCTCTTTCAATACTGCAACAGGGTTTTAGAAACAAGAGAAAATAAAAGACAAGTCCCATCATTTTCCTTGAATGGAGAAATTATTGTGAACTTTCAATAGTGATAGGGCAGGAGATATTTGATGAATGTTTCCCATTAATTGAGAAACAATAAAACAGAAAAATAAGATTGAAGTATGAAACTACGGGCTGAAGGTAGGGTCTACTTTCAGTTACACTTTGTATTAGAAATTTAAAATAACAATTAGCCCAAAGCAATTACAATCCTTTCTATTTCTTCCTAAAACTAAAATAATCACTTAATATATCTTTTCCAGAATAATAATATGAAAACATTTTCACTCAAATCCATTTTTCATTCAACTTAATTCACTTGGTGAACTAAGCTAAAATCATAATGGCTTGAAAATTGCAATACCAAAAACCATTCTTATGTGTTTAGAATTTGGAGACGTAGGGAACAAAATCAACTAACAGTGCATAAAATAAGAAAAGTACAAACATTGCACCAAAACCATCTTGCCACCATGGCTCCTCACCTTATGAGCAGGAAGGACATCTCCTTTGGTGGATTGAAACTCAAGCAGTGTTTTCCCCATCAACCCTGTCTACTTTGAAAACCAAACACAAAACAAATTATAAGATAACTGAGTGATTCAATGTTCCATTTTGGCAGCAAACATGAATTAAAAAAAAAGAAAAAAAGAAAAAAGAGAGTTTGCAGTGACTAATATACAAAATCATGGTTATTTGAGCTGAATAAATAAATAATTGAGCAGACAATTTTTTCACTTCAAAACCATTCATAATTCATATAATATACAACCTGAACATCAACACACTTCAAATTCAGAATAGTGGAGCCCCTCTTCTGAGCACTATCCAAATTTCTTGATGCACCTGAAGAGATAGAGGCTGATATCTCAGCTTCCTATAAAATAACAAACAAAATGTTGCAAATAAGCAGCATTTCAGAAAACATGTAGGCAGTGGTTTTAAATGCTTGTATGCTCCATGGATGATTAGGCGTGATAAAGTGCACCTAGGCATGGTTAGGCACATTTAAACATGCCAAGGCAGGATTAGGCGCTAGGCTAATCAGGCATTTTGAAGTGAATCTATATCGCCTATAAAAAGAATCACAAAAAATCCAGCAACAACATAGTAACCTGCTAGTAAATTCTATTACAATTACTCTATATTACACATGCATGTATTCTAATTCTTGAATTTAAACTTGTTTTCTTCTCTCTCTCTTTTTTTTCTTTTTCTTTTTTTTTTTTTTACATCATCCTTCTGA